CACAGGTATAATATTATTTTTATTTTAATAGGATTTAAACATTTATTTATTTATTTATTTTTGAGAAAAAGAAAATCATATCGCCTTAGTTAATATTTTCATTGAGACACTCGCATTGGCGGATCCAGGGGTGGGCTCAACCAAACCACCCCCCAAAAAAAAAAAAAAAAAAAAAAAAAAGTTATTATTATTACTGCTATTAGTCCATCCAAAAAAATATTAACCCACCATTCACCTTGGACACTCATAGACACACCGACCTATTTAGACTTTAAACACTCAACTTCTCCATTAATTTTTTTTTTTTTGTAAATTGCTTCCGCTAAAATTACACCAACGATTGTCCCCATAATTTTTTTATCTTCTTGTTAAAGAATAACATAATTTTCTGGGTCAGCCCAACACTCACTCACTCATTTGCACTGTTCATTTATAAATTATATTCAGATACATGTACGAGATATCCATGTTTATTTATAAATATATGGTGTATTTGTTGCGGTCTATCAATCAATCAAGGGGTAAATATATTAATTTAGATCATCCAAACTTTTATGATTGATATATCAAATGCCATGTAATTAATGAATGATACAAAGTTATGGAGACATCTGAGACAGAACAAATTGTGATGATCCGTCAAATTTGGCATCAATGTCTTGTTATTTACATTGTCACGTGTTGAATTTTTTGGATTTCAAGAAATGACATGGCCTCTGTTTTGTTCTAGTATTGCTTTATTTACTTTTGAACGAGTTAAGAGGAGAGAAAATAGTATTAATTTGTATATATGTCACACACAAAAAATTACCCTTTTTTGAGAATCTAATTTTTTAAGAGGGTAATTTTTAATATATATTTTTTGTGATAGTAGTTGGGAATAAATTTTCAAATATATCCTTTTAGGATGAATACACATACTTTTATATAACTTCAAATATGGTAAATTAGGAATATTAAAAAAATGATACATTGGATTGTGAGTTGGGACAATTATTTTGGAATAACTAAAAATAGAAAAGTGAACACTTTTTATGAGACTGATGGAGTAAATAAATAGTAGGGGTGTGCAAAAAATTGTCAATCCGAAAAACCAAACTGGACATGACCGAATCGGGCGGTCTCGGCCAATTTCATAACGGTTCGGTCCGGTCACCGTTCTAAAATAATAGAACAGTGAATTTTAGTTTGGTCCCGGATTAGGGTCCTATAGGGCTGGTCCAGCCTAGTCTGAATCGTTATAATATGTATATATATATATATATATATATATGGACAATACTTGTCTACTCACCGGTGAGTACGAAGTTCTTACTTACCCTTGATGTGACACAAAAATAATGTGGCAAGTGTTCTTAAAATAAAAATAATAAAAATTAAAAAAATTGATTAATTTTGCGCCACATTAGAGTAAGTATGAACTTCCTACTCACTGGTAAGTACGTAAGTATTATCTATACCTATATACTACTCTTAACTTTGTAAGGAATTTCGACAAAAAGATCAAATGTGAGCCAACATTTATCACTGTCTGATTTTTTTTATTTGTTTTCGTTTCTTCCAATGTTTTATTTTTGGGTGCGTGCCATCATTCTTCCACTATTTCATTTTTTTTTCTTTGCTCACGCCGCCTCATTCAGTTCTTAGTTCTCATCATTACGGGATCCAGTTGTTGATCAATCTCTCCCACACAACCTTCGAAGTTCGGTCATCGCCATCGATCTTTTATCGTTACCGTCAATGACATCCTTTCTCACACTCACTCCTCTTTTCTCACGGCATGTTTGTGCCTCAAGCACAACCAACAACGACAACAAATCACCCCTCTATATAATTTTGCCCCCCATATAAATTCCTAGATCCTTCCCTACAAACCGGACATTGTGCACCCCTAATAAATAGTAGGTAATCATTTACTTTTATTCTTTTTCTTCCGTTTCTTCCTTTAAAAAAAATCCCAGACTTCTGACGCTATATCATTCCTTTTTTTTCACAGAAAGAAAAGCAAATCCTCTTTCATTGAAATAGGTTTTTGCTTATTTTCCTTACCTTCCCATACTTGTATATAAAAGAAAGTGATCATAACCTAATTTACCCTCTCTCTTTTTCAAAAAAAAAAAAAAAAAAAAAAAAAAAAAAAAAAAAAAAAAGTGAGATAACATTTCCCTTTCCCTTTTCCATTTCGTATCCTCCTTATTTTTCTTTCAATTTCCTTAAACCTCACATTATTAATGATGGTACTGTGTCTTCAAATGTAGTGGAAAACAAAAATAATGAAATTTCTATTTTCACGTTCTTCCCATGGCAAGGGACAAGCTCTTTTTCTATGAGCTGTATTTGCACCACCATTTATAACAATTCCTTGAAATACATCCTTTCCCTTTGAATAAAAAGAAAGTGTTGATTTGATGAAATTTCCAACACAGGATTATGGAATGACAAAAAAGCCCTTCAAAAGTGTCCCTATAATGAACTCAATCACAAAAATTATGGTTCACCAGTAGAGAACCAAAAACATGACACTTATAACTCAAGTCTTTGCTTTACTTGTAGTAATGCCCTAACACATTCTTGCTTCTTTATATATTTCTCTAGAGTTGGAGACATGTCTTATGGAATAATCATGAATAGTTTAGTGTTAATTAAGGTTGTAACAACCTAGGTTAGATCTGTGGTCCCAAACAAGTTTATGTCCATTCCTTCTGCTGACTTCCATAGACCATAGCTTTGATGTTTCAATAACAACTTACAATAAATCTTGCACATCTTAGTAGGACCCTACAAGCAATCTCAATAGCCAATGAGAATCAGCCAAGTGTTCTAATCAACAACAATAGTTTTTTTTTTTTTTTTCAGATATATATATATATATATATATATATATATATATATATATATATATATTTAAAGTTATGCAAAGTACTTGGAGAAAAAAAGGTTGAGTTAATGGGTGGTTGAGTATGATTGTTTACTAACTAGACAAAGCAAGAGTGGTCTAGATGCTGCTAACTGCTATCCTAATGGTATGGTTGGGACCCTACCCTTCTTTGATTAGAATCTCAGAAGAACAAACTATTTGCATCCACGTAAACATTGTCACTAGAAAGGTGAGGACAATTAAAATAGGGCAACCTAACATGAAATCTTCTTGAGGGGGTGCCCTCTTTTTGGCTGGATGTCATTTTTGATTTCTCCTTTGGTTGGCATCTCAGATCTAAACCTTTTTGAGTTGGTGATTCAATTGGTGCCCAATGCTGACTCACTTCCACGCGTAACCAATCGAAGTAAGGTGGATCAATCATTTCTGCAAATTAAACTAGGAAAAATTAGTTTTGTCCTAGATGTAGCACAGTTGGATGGTAGGATGGATCTTCGATGCGTGAACAAATGGTATCCGTATACCGAGCGTGGGTTTGAACCCCTCCACCGCACAAATTTGCGAATTAAATCTCATTTGTGTCGGAACACTAATACAGGTAGGGTTCCTCCAGTTTAGAAGACCTTTTATTAAATAATAATAATAATAATAATAATTAGTTCTGAGTTTTTCCATCAAAGTGTGATGTTGGGTTTGGCTTTGAATCAGATGGTGGAATGAGATATGTACGAGGTCAATATCCATTAGGTCTAGTTTGGTAAGGTTGGTGCTTTAAGACCCTTAGTAGGGAACCCCATGTCACACCACTTTGGGGGTTTTGATGAGTATTGATCAAGATATGTGTGTGTGACTTTGTGTGTGTGTGTGTGTGTGTGAGAGAGAGAGAGAGAGAGAGAGAGAGAGCATTGGTGAACACAACAGAAAGCTAGTTGTTTTACCCAAAAACAGTATGAGAGAAAGATGATTAAAAAAAGGGAATATGAAGCTTTGTGATCTGAAGAAATGTAGCACTCCATGTGACTCCAACTTTCTAGTAATGCAGATCTTTACACGCAAAACATGAACCACTTTCACACCCCCAAGTTTTCAATTATCGCTATCCAAGCTATGAAAATGGGAAAGAAAAGTGAAGCTAAAAACAATTTTTGCCGACTCTATCTGTACATAAAGTCAATACATTAAAAAGATACTTTGGAAAGATGATGAGAAAATGATGACGATGATACAGAGAATATTGATGGTTGTGCTGAGAAAAGTATAAAAGTTTCATAAACAAATTGAAATCAGCTTGTATAACATTTTTGCTTGAGAATCTTCTTGTTACACATAATAGGTTAAGGCATTGATGTACATGTATGAAATTGGATGTGACTATCCTAATTAAATTAAACAATTATTCACAGGCATAGAAGTTATGGTTACCATTATATTTCTTATGGTCTAATTTATCTCTTTAAGAAAACTATGGTCATGAGTTTTTATTTTTGCAATTAAGAATCAATGCACCTGTGAACTTCAAATGCATGCAATTGCCTGTAAATTATGTACATTATTTGAATTCATACCTCGCTTATAATAAATCTCTGGATATTAAAGGGAGTACTCCAAAGACCTTACAAGTTTAAGTTAGTCTCGTTGAGCATATATATGATCATGATTGTGATTGTTTAAAACAAATAATAATTATTATTATAATTAATAAGCGAATTTTGATCTGAGTAATCCAAACAGGTTTGTATGACGAAGAGATGTGCATAATTAACAATTTTTGTATGATAAAAAATATACTGATCAACTTAACCTTCATATAAAGATAATGACGTTCGAATTTTAAGCACTGACTTGATTGTCGGAGTGTACCCGATTAGTACCCCATTGATGTCAATCCTCATCACATCTCCTATATTTCAATTTCACAAAAAGCTCGTACCAAATCAGATCTTGTAAATTTTTGTATCAACAACAATAATAATAAATAAAATAAAATGTAACCTTGGCAACATATACCCATCTCTCTTGGATACCCCAATTCTCACCCTTCTCACTATAAATCAACCTAACCTCCTACCTTGGTTTTCGCCCTAATTTTCTCTTCTCTGCAACCAAACAAATCAAATCAAACACAATTAAACTAAGAGGCCCCTCCGATAGTTAATGGTCCAGCATGTGCTTTGGAATAAGAGAGTTCACTTTATAGGATAATAATAGGCACCGCCCATCCTTTAAATTCCCATTCTTGTATATAAGTACACTCTCCCCCCTTTCTTACTCCTCTCTCCCTCTCTCTTCTTTCTCTGTGTTCCTCTTGTCATTTTGTGAAACTCAGCTTTGGTTTCTCATTTGTCATTGACAATGGGTGAAGAAGCTAAACAGGTAACTAATTTTTTTTTTTTTTTTTGCACTATTTTTATGTTTCTTCATTGCTGATCAATTCTTTTAATGGGTTGTTTTAATTTTTTGTAAATTTTGGTTTTGTATTTGATTGATATATCATATATTGAATTGAATTTGACAGGAACAAGCTAATGTAGAAGCTAAGCCAGAGGAAAAGAAAGAAGAGAAGGCTGAGGAGAAGGAAGAGCCTAAGCCACCCGAGCCTTTCGTCTTGTTCGTAGACTTGCATTGTGTGGGATGTGCAAAGAAGATTGAGAAATCCATCTTGAAGATCAGAGGTCTCTCTAAATATATATATATATATATATATATATCTATATATATATATATATATATATATATATATATATTAGACACATATTTATTTGTGTTTGTGTGTGTGTCTAATCCTTGGTTTTTGTTAATAGGAGTTGAGGGGGTTGTGATTGATATGGCACAAAACCAAGTGACTATTAAGGGAGTGATTGAGCCTCAAGCTGTGTGTACAAAGATAATGAAGAGAACCAAAAGAACAGCCAAAGTCTTGTCCCCATTGCCTGCAGCTGAGGGTGAACCTATACCAGAAGTTGTTAATTCACAGGTCTCATCATGAACCACCTTAATTCATATATATATATATATACACACACATATAATGAACCAAAAAATCTAAATGTTCTCATCTTCTCCATCTTAATGTTGTTCTTTTAATTGATATTTCAGGTCAGTGGATTAACCACTGTGGAACTTAATGTGAACATGCACTGTGAGGCCTGCGCGGAGCAACTCAAGAAAAAGATACTCAAAATGAGAGGTACTACTTCGTGTTACTAACAGAAAGGTCATTACCCAGTGCTGGTCGCGTAAGCCTATGTGGGACGTCTCAAATTTATGTGCACATATATAAACTAAGACATAATTTAAGTGGTTAATATCTGAGTTTTGTGTGAATTTTAGGAGTTAGAACAGCCGCGACAGAATTGAGCTCCGGGAAGGTGACTGTGACTGGTACCATGGAAGCGGACAAGCTCGTTGATTATGTCTACAGGCGTACGAAAAAGCAAGCAAAAATTGTGCCACAGCCTGAGCCCGAGAAGAAAGAAGCAGAGGAAGCAAAGCCCGGAGAGAAGAAAGAAGAAGAGAAGGCAGCCGAGGAACAAAAACCCGAAGAGAAGAAGGAAGAAGGTGAAAAACCACCAGAAGAAGAGAAGAAAGAAGGTGGTGAAGGGAATGGCAATGAAAACAAAGAAGAGGCTATGAAAGAAGGAGAGAACAATATTAGTGGTGGTAGTGATGAACAAAGCATGCAGAAAATGGTGCATTATTACCAACCCCTTTATTTCATTGAGAGAATTCCACCACCACAGCTCTTCTCTGATGAAAATCCTAATGCATGTTGCATTTCATAGTTCAATTAAGTCCTTATTAATTACCAACTTTCCATATATTGTATGATTCCAACACTACTATACCACCACTATGTGAGCATATACATAATAATCTTGGTGGATGGTTTCAGTGAATGGAGTGTGGATCCAAGTTCCAAAAACAATTATAATAATAAGATATAATCATTCTGTATATATGTGTTATGCATTGAATATTTTAATATCTATACATATACACAATATGGTTAGTATTTTATTTTGTGATGAATGGTTGTGTGTGACTATAATGAAGGAGGTCTCTGTTTTATATTAATCTCAGAGGAGTTGTGATAGATTTTTAGTATGTCAGAGTGTGGCAATTTGTACACTTAAATTAATTCGTCTAACTTTATTTAGTCTTTTACTTATGTGACAGATTATATTAGAATGTTATCTGAACCATTTAATAATTTCTAAAAATATACAAGCTTAAAGTACATTTGAGTGAAGTGTGGACCGGTTATTATTAGATTACCAATAGAAGGTTAAGTTATGACAGAATTGGTAACAATGTATGCCAAAATCCAACACCCTCTTCCACATGCAATTTTGTCTAGTTCAATGTTCATCAATTTAATATTATGTAAAATAATCGGTCCTTTAAAAGCTTAAGTTGTTAGAAAAAAAAAAAAAAAAGAAGGCTTAGCAATGGGTGTATCAAAGATCAATAATCTCTCACGTGCAAAGTAGTCTTGCATACAACGGACCAAACATACCAAACCAAGTTCATAACAAACGCATACTTGCACATCAAATCGGGAAATAAATGCAAAAGATGGAGACTTTAATTCAAGCTTGATCTTCAAGAACCAAATTTGATATCATGTTAGATAACCAATTATTTCAACAGAAAGTTTCTAACTTCTATCTGCAAATTAGAAAAGGACCTTGTCGCTTAGTGTTCATACCAAATTTTTAATTTTTTTTTTTTTAAATACAAAGTGATTATTTTTAACTCAATTTAGAAACCCTTCTCCACACATGACGATAAACATAACAGATCTCTGAAGTTAGTATAAATAGATAACGTACGTTCACAAATTTTCAAGGTTACTAGATACCTAAAAGAAATTTAGCGTTTGCTATACTCAAATTAATTAATAAAATCTGAAGTACCGTTAACATTAGACCAATATCTGTAATTAAGTGATTGTAGATGATTGCTTTACGTCAAATGCCACCTGTCATTTTACTATCATTAATGCAAAGCCACATTTGCATACTATAAAGAGCCTGTATCGTACGCTAGAGCTCTATCTGCTTGGCCTTACGAGGGAGGTCCCACTTCAGTTAGATGGGTTTCCTTCTACACGCCTACACTGTTTAGAGGAAGGGGTCACTATCCTTCACTCTCCTGCTGTCATGGAAGTACCTTGCTCTAGTTGGATGGGTATTGCCTGTTAGGATATGTGTGCACTAGCTTAGCAAATTCTAATTTTAGACTGTAAAAGTCATGGTTTATTATCTGGATATTATTATTAAAGCATTATACAATTGGTGAATGGAATGTATTATTTTTCGATTCATTATGGAATTGATTGTGTCCACTTGATTACAAAATATATTTATATATGTATGTAATGGCAATTAATACTATGTTATAAATTAGTAATCATAAATGGTTTAAAGTCGGTAATTATGGATGGACATTTAATTAGTTAAGACTTAAACCGAGTCCACGATAGATTGAGATATATTGCTAGAACTGTCGTATGCAATTACTCTCTATCACAATCATGGCTTTTGACTCTTAAGCATAAAAGAAGTATAGACTCTTTTATTAATTAATAATTACTTTGATTTGTTCGGCGGATACCTCGGGATCCTTAGATCGACACTTTGAATAGTTATGTAATTAATAATTAGAGGTCTATATTCTCAATATTTGTATCAGTGCTATTTGTATTTATTTTGTTTTGATTATGGTTGATCACAAATTAAATTCGAAGGCCTTCGTATGTTTTAGACAAATGTTATATATATATATTTATTTAATAAATTATTATTATTTTTTGTCAAATAAATATTTTATTGTGATCGAGCCGGAAATAATCAAAGGTAACAAAATAATTATATTAATTATGTTGTCGGATTGATGGCTTTAATTATCCGATAAATAATTAAGTATAGAGGGGTCAAAGTGCAACATTGACTTAGAGGTTATTTACTATTTAATTGGAGTGCAATTAATTTCATTTAGTGGAGTAGAAATTAATTTATGAATTAATTGAATTGGGTCCATGGTTTAATGGACCAGACCAATTATTAATTTATAGGAGCCAAGAAAATAGTAAGCCCAAAAGGATTCTCACCAATAGCCCAAGTTGATATTGGAGTCATGTTAGAATTGAGAAAATTGAATTAGAGATGGAGAATGATTTATTGTTTCCTTATTCTTATTTTTATTTTGCCTATATATACATGAGTTCATGGATATTTTAGGTGTGACTTTTAAAACAAGAAAAAGGAATACACTTTCACTCTCTAGATTTTAGGGTTTTGTTTTCTCTTCTAAAGGAGGCTACCACAAACCTAGATTCCAAGGTCATTCATCAAGGCATATTGGTAATTCCTAAAGAGAAGATAATAATCAAGAAGAAGGAGAAAGGATCTTGCTAAAGGGATTTACAATAAGTGAGAACAATCACTTTAGAGGAAAGTTCAAAAGGTTTATTCAGACCTTTGATATAAGTATTCAATCTGTTTATTGAATTATACATCATCTTTTATTTATCTTTGTATAAAACTTGTCTCTATGTGATGAATCAAGATCCATGATTGCAAATCCCTCAAAAGTTTTAAAAACTTGCACGTTTCCCAATAGTGGTATCAGAGCACATGGTTTAATTCATTACTAGAGAACATGTGTTTATAAAAATCATATTCATGGATTCAAATTATATATACATATATAAAATTATTGATATATGTTGATGTATGATTTATTATGTTGATATATATTAATACATGATGATGTATGTATAATTGTGAATGGATAATGATGTGTGTTTGGGCCATGGATGAAGCTTATAGGTTTATAGAATGTAATTTTATTTTTGGATGAATGTAATTAAGGTTTTGTTTTAGCCGTTTGAAAATTCAATGATGTAATTTAATTTTTTCCATTGTATTTCAAATTGTAAGTATTTATTAAAGCCATGTAATATTCATTAAAGGATGCTATGAAGCTTCAAGAGGGTCCGAAAGGGTTAAATTATGCTTCAGTAATTTTCTGAAATTTTTCTGAATTTTCTGGAATTTTTTTGAGGCTTAATTTAATTTTCTGAAATTTTTCGGATTTTTTGGAATTTTTTCAGCGTTTTTCCGGTGGCCGGAGCTTCGCCGGCGGCAAGAAAAGGCGTCGGAGGAGGCTGGAATCACATGTGATGCAAGTAAGATGAGCCTGGCGCGTGTTCCTCACGCGCCAGGAAGTGGCATATAAAGGACAAGCTGGCGCGTGGATCTCACGCGCCAGTTAAGGGGGTTTCCTTCTCCATGCGCGTGCAGGACCGTGGAGGCGCGTCCCACGTGCCCCAAGCGCGTGCCAGCGCATGGGGGCGCGTGCCTTGACCTGCCACCTTCCCTAGGCGCGTGCCAACGCGTGTGGGGTCCTCGGGGCTCGTTCCAAGCGGCGTTTTGCTTCTCCTGACGCGTACAAGTTTCTTATGGGTGTTTACAGACAGTTAAAGGACACCCGTACAGCAAGAATAGTTTTTAAATGTTAAAAACTAAATCCATTGGCCATTTATACTGCTTCTGTCTGTTATTTGATGCATGAAATAATTTAATACTTATTATAATTGTTCATGCATTGGATCCATGATTTTTTAATTAAATGGCTTGATTTATATTAATTAAATTATGAAGATAAATTGGATTAGATTGCTAATTAATTTGAGGGCATTTATTGGGAAACAGAAAAATTATTTTTGTAAATTATTTTTTGCCTCAAATTAAAATTAGTGAATCATTTAAAATCCATATATTTTCTAAATTTAATTGGATTAAAATCAAGGCGTTTTGCATGCATTAAATCATGAATTGAAAACCCTAGTTTTATATTATTAAAAATTGAGTGGGAGCGGGGATTTTTATACATTACTCCATGGCCTTCGTAATTATAACCATTGTGATTAGATCTTTAAAAATAAGGCTCCAAGCATGATTTAAAGAGTCTAGATTACAAGAATTGTTGTCTCACGAAAATATATTTATTAAATAACCATTATAGTTAGATCTTTAAAAATAAGGCCCTACGCATGATTTAAAGAGTCTAAGCTATTAATGGCAATATTTAATATTTGATTTTTTGTTGGAGCATTAATTATGCTATACACTTAATCTAAAATCAATAGTATTAGCACCCCAACGGAGTGGTCTATACTAGGTGATTTTAGAAAGGCTAAATATAATCGGGAATTATTTCATATATATAGATAAGGCATTGTCTAAAAAGATATGGAAATAATGAGTTGTTTTCGCCAATAAGTAATAATGAATTCTGCCAACCGGATAAGTTATTGGCATATTGATTGTCCGATTTTTCATGCAATGTGGTTAAGGGACCCACAATTAATTAATTATTTTATACTTACATGATTATTATTATTCACTTTATTTATTGTATGAATGCTTTTATTTTCAGATTTATCATGACTAGTCCATTCAGTCCACTTGCAAACATACTAAAAGAAAATCGATTAACTGGACCTAATTATATCGATTGGAAAAGGCAACTAGATATTGTACTCACATATGAGGGGTTGAATTATGTACTTACTACTCCCAGACCTTCTCCACCTTTGCCTGAGGATCCTCCTAAGGAGCATGAAGTTTTTAAGAAATGGAATAAAGCAGATGAGATGACTAGGTGCTACATTCTTGCTTCACTCTCGAATGTACTCCAAAGTCAACATCTTCAATATCTCACTTCTGCAGACATCATGCTTAACCTTAAGGAAATGTTTGGGCAAATTGGTAAGAGTGCACGCCAAAATGCTATGACAAATTTGATGACCATTAAGATAGTCCAAGGTACTTCAGTTCGGGAACATGCTTTAAAAATGATTGGTTTTTTAAATGAACTGGAGATCCTTGGATGTAACTTGGATGGTGAACTTCAGGTTGACATGATTATCGCTTCATTGCCAGACTCA